CTCTGTTGCTCCGCGTGGTCAGGCCCCGCTGGACGCCACCACCGCCAGCCCCTCTCTGATGTTCACCTTGGGGGGTCCTAGACGGCTTGGTCTTCCCCAGCGCCTGCTCTAATGTTAAAAAAGGAAAAACCCAACACAGTTTTATTGAGATGGAATTCATCTATCACACAAGTCACCCATTCCCAGCACGCAGTTCGGGGGGCTTTAGGGTGCTCCCAGAGCTGTGCCGCCGTCACCACCGTCCACGGTAGAACATTCTCGCCACCCCCGAGAGCCCGGGGCCCCTGAGCTGCCATCCTTGACCTTCCCGTCTCCCCAGCCCCTCGCCGCCCCTGGTCTACCTCCTGCCTCGGTGGCTTGGCCTGTCCTGGACGTCCCGTGTCGATGGAGTCCCGTGGCGTGTGGCTTCTGTGTCTGGCTCATGCACTTGGCGTGATGTCTCCGAGGGGTGTCCGCGCCGTTGCTCGGGCCAGAGCGACACTGCTCTTCGCTGCCGGCTGACACTCTGTTCCGTGGATGGACGGCCTTTTACTGACGTGCTCGTCCGTTGCTGGACGTTGAGGATGCGACTCCGTTTTGGCTGTGGTGGACGACGTGGCCGTGAACATCTGTGTGCCGGTCTTTGCGTGGACACCCGAGTTCTCTTCTCTTGGGTCCACGTGGCAGTGGAGTGGCTGAATCACTCGGGAACTCTTTTCTTTAAAAAAAGATTTAATTAATTTGTTTATTTTTAGGGAGGGAAGGGAAAGAGAGAGAGAGAGAGAGAGAAACATCGATGTGCAGTTGCTGGGGGCCGTGACCTGCAACCCAGGCATGTGCCCTGACTGGGAATCGAACCTGCAACACTTTGGTTCGCAGCCCGCGCTCAATCCACTGAGCTACGCCAGCCAGGGCTTGGGAACTCCTTCCCTGGCCGAGGCCGAGCACTTTGCACAGCTCCTCCGACTCCTTGGCAGCGTGTCCCAGGCCCTTGCCACCCGCCTTCGACCTCTGCTGCTCAGAGCCACCACCGCCGACCGGCTGCCTCTGCCCGGCCGGGCTTGTCATCCGAACCGAGGGCTGCAGCCTTGCCCTCCGGCTGGCGCCGTCCACCCCAAGCGAGACGTGGCCCCGGGCCAGAGTCAGCCCACACGTGCATGTCTTTGGGACACACAGACGTCTTCCCAATGTGAATTGTTTGTGCGCGTTTAGAAACCACGTGAGCAGCCCTGGCTGGTGCGGCTCAGTGGGCTGGAGCATCGTCCCGTAACCGAAAGGTTGCGGGTTCCATTCCCGGTCAGGTTCAATACGGGAGGCAGCTGATCGATGCTTCTCTCTCGCATCGATGCATCTTTCTCTTCCTTCCTCTCTCCCTTTTTCTCTCTCTAAAAGGCAATGAAAAAAAAATGTCCTCCGTGAGGATAAAAAAAAAAATATATATATATATTAAAAATCATGAGATTACCCTCAATGATCCAAATGTCTATGTCCTTCACCTCCTGGGAGGCACCAGCTGAGGGACGTAAGCCCTGCCCCCTCCTCCTCACATTTTTACTGGCCACTGAGGCTCGGGGGTCCTGACCTTTGACCTAGTCCCATCCTCCCGAAGCCCCGCCCAGCTTGCTGCTTTGGCGGTTGTGCTCCGCTCCGCAAGCCCTGGTGCCCGTGCCACTCGGTGCCACACCGAGCGTGGCGCTCTGCTGTGTGGTTGTCCGGTGGGCGTGGCAGGAGGTTCAACGGGAGCCGTTCTAGTGGCAGGGGTTGCGGGTGCTGGGGCCGACCTGACTGTCTGGGTCTGAGCCTTAACCCTCTGTGTGACCTCGGGCAAGTTACCTAACCTCTCGGAACCCCAGCTTCCTTGTATTTCAGAGAGGGGTTACGGCAGGACCTCCTTAGGTGTCGCTGTTGTGAGGAGGGGCGAGCAGATGGAGGTGCCCACACTGTTGGTACCAGTCTCTTTTTTCCGACGTTTCCTCTGCGATGCCGCAAGAACTCTGCGGACCAGAACCCTGTGGGGCTGGGGGCTCAGCCGCCCTTCTCCCAGTTGGGGGGGTGGGGGGGCGCCTCGAGCATTTGAGCCGGATGGTAGGGCTGGGTCGTCCTGCACTCTCAGGGGTGCACCCTGGTTGGGGGGTGGTGTGGGGAGGTGGCAGGTGCGGAACTCCGGCTGGGAATGGAAGAGTCAGAATTCTACCCCAGGGCCAAGGGCGCCTTCCTGCAAGAGGGCTCCTTGGCCCCCTTTCGCGCCCCCACACCGGCACTGCCGTCAGGTGTGGCATACTGGGCTGACCTCAGGGCAGGTCCTGCCTGCCACCCGGCCGGCTGAGTTGCATGGGAGCCTGGTGGTCGGGGCAGGTGGCTCGGGACCGGCGGCCAGGACCCAGGGAGGCCGCTATAAAGCAGTGTGCTGGGTTAGGCAGGCTGGAACAAGGAGCCGCTTCTTTCTGTTTGTTTGAATTAGTGACTAGATAAAGAGTGCTTCCAAAATAAGTGTAAGCTCTACAGAACTAAGGCATAACAAATATCATGTACCTACAAACCCATCTTTAAAAAAAAAGAACTTTAGCCCTGGCTGGTGTGGCTCAGTGGATTGAGTGCTGGCCTATGAACTAGAGGGTCGCCAGTTCGATTCCCAGTCAGGGCATATGCCTGGGTTGCAGGGCAGCTCCCTGGTTGGGGGCGTGTAAGAGGCAACTGATGGATGTACCTCTCGCACATCAATCTTTCTCTCCCTGTCTTTCTCCCTCCCTTCCCTCTCTAAAAATAAATATTTATTTTTATTTATGTCTTTAAAATAAAATACTTATTTTTAGAGAGGGAAGGGAGGGAGGGAGAGAGAGAAACATCGATGTGCAGTTGCTGGGGGCCGTGGCCCCGTGGCCTGCAATCCAGGTATGTGGCCTGACTGGGAATCAAACCTGCGACACTTTGGTTCGCAGCCCGCGCTCAATCCACTGAGCTACGCCGGCCAGGGCTAATATAAATCTTTTTAAAAGAACTTTATTGTCTCCTGTGTCCCTCCCCAAATTCTACCCCATCTCCTCATCCATTGTTCCAGATCTTGTGTAGCTCATTCTCTCCTCTCTGTCATTCTCCCGTGTGTCTGACCCGCTAACACTGTACTGTGGACTTCCGAAGGGGAGTCACATCGGGGGAGCCCGCAGGGGCTGTTTCAGCCCCCCTTTATCCTGCACTCAGGATAATCTCTTCGGGTCTGGCGTCTAATAACTGCTCTTTCCAACCGTGTCTAACACGTAAAACCCATCCATTGCATTTCCGATGTCCAGGGATATTGTTTCCTTTGTCGCAGTCCTATTTTTTCTGGTCATCTCCCATCCTGTTTCCAGAATTCGTTTTATGGAAGCATTCCCGTTTCTCCCTGTCGACCTGGTTTTGCACCTGGTCCACGGCATTCTGCATGCACCCGATCGCTGCAGGGCATTTCAGGGTCGACCAGCACTCTGTCAGGGGCCTGGGCCGCAGCGGTGAGCTGAGACGCAGCCCCTGCTCCCATGGAGCTTCGGGCCTGGTGGGGCAGAGGCAAACGGGCACTGAGCCGTCTGGGGGGACCGGCAGAAGGCAGGGCCCCCAGGAGGGTGGGCCCACGAGGTCAGTGGTGTCTCCTGGGGAGCGGAGACCTGCAGGATGGCGGGGTGGCTGGGCGCACGGCTGCAGGAGGAGCTAACGCTGAGCTCTGGAGGAGGGAGCAGAGCGAGAAGTGTGTCCAACCAGCCCCGGGCATCCGACCCTTCCCTCCCGTGCAGAGCAGGGACAGGCGTGGGTCTCGGGCCACGCAGGGTCTGTGAGCGGCACCAGGAGGGGCGTGTGGAATGTCGCAGCCCCCTGCGCCGGGCCGCCGTAGGCGTTGGGGTGTCATCTCTGGGCTCTGTGCTCCCTGGGTGTTCTGTGTTACACCCTTTTGCCCTTGCAGCGAGCTGGCCACTGGCCAGCTTGACATCTCTGCCTGCGTGTCCTAAGCTGAAATGCACCTGAAACAGGCAGAACTCACGGCTTCCTCTCCGTCCACCTGCCCTGCAGGTGTCCCCCTGCCTGTCCTTTGTTCGGGCCCCGATTTTAGGAGTCCCCTGGGGCTCCTCCATGCTGCTCAGCAAGCCTGGTCAGTGCTGACTCCAGAATGAGCCCGTCGCCCACCCTCTGCAGCTCCTGCTCTGCCCCTGAAGCCTCCCCCTGGGTCTCGGTGCTTCTACAGCTGCTCCCCCCACAGCAGGCCGGGGAGGGGGGCGGAGTCCACCCCAAATACACGTCAGAACTCGTCCTTTCCTGCGTGGCACCCTCCGGTGGCTCCCCCTGAACTGAGAAGCGCATTCGGCCTCCGCACCTGGGGCCCCAGGCCCCTCCTCCCCTGTCTTCTCCCTCTGGGTCCCCCTCCAGACCCCTGGCTGCGGAGTGCCCCCCCGCCCCCCTGCTCTTTGCAGGGCTGACTCTCCAGGTCTCGACGAAGGGACCTTCCGGCTCCCTCCGGCACCATCTCAGTTTCCCTCCTGGCTTAACGTTCTCCTCCTTCCCCACTCCCCTCCCTGTAAGCTGGGGGCAAGGACCTACCTGGCTGTGTCCTGGGTGCCTGCAGGCTCCCTGGTGCATTTGTGCACTTGGTCACGAGTGGCACTTGTCTGTCAGCAGGAGGCAGAAGTCACACTAGTCAGCGGCTGTCAGGCCCCAGAGCCAGGACAGTGCCCTGGGTTGGGCAGGGGGAGCGCCGGGGGGCAGGCCCGGAGGCCAGCCGCGTGCCGTGAGTGCAGCCTGGCCCTTGCTGGGGCCAGAGCCCTCCCCACGCTGTTTCCGGAGAAGCCCAAAGAGTCTGACTTGTCTTCAGTGGCCCTCACCAAGCGGGGGGCGGCCCAGAGACACCCCCTCCCTGCTCTCATTGAGGGTTTCTTGTAGGCTCTTTGGACTGGGGAATGCGGGCGCTAGGCGGGGTCCTGGTGGCCCTCGGGACGTCGGGCGTGGTGCCCACACCTGCCTCATGGCCTCCTCCCCTCTCTCCTCCTCCCCCCGCTCAGGCCGCACCAGCTTCTACGAGGAGTACGGGGTCATTCGCGACGTCCTGCAGAACCACCTGACCGAGATCCTGACGCTGGTGGCCATGGAGCTGCCGCACGACGCCAGCAGCTCGGCGGCCGTGCTGCAGCACAAGCTGCAGGCCTTCCAGGCGCTGCGGGGCCTGCGGAGGGGCAGCGCCGTCCTGGGCCAGTACCAGGCGTACAGCGAGCAGGTGCGCCGGGAGCTGCACAAGCCGGACGGCTTCCAGAGCCTGACGCCGACCTTCGCAGGTGGGCTCGGGGGCCGGCGCGGGCTGCGGGCTGCGGGCTGCGGGCTGCGTCCCCTGGACCGTCCCCCCTTCGTGGAGCTTTCTGGGAGAGCGGGGGTGCTCCCTGGGGCTGCAGACAGGGACCCCAGAACACGAGCAGCAGCCGTGGGCCGGGCACCTGCTCTGTGCCAGGCACTTCACAGGCATCATCTCATCTAGTGCTCGCACGCACACACCTGCCGGGCAGGTAGGCTTGTTGTCCCCATTTAAAGGGAAGGAAAGCGAGGCCCGGTGACGGTGAAAAACTGCCCAAGGTCCGGCAGGGACAGTACATGAGGACACGGGCTTGGAACTCGAGTCAGGAGGCCACTTGGTGTCTGGACGTCAGCGCCCCCTGCAGGGGTGTCCTTGCCTGCGCGCCACCCCTTCCCTTTTCCTGCACCTGACCTTGCTTCAGGTGTGTCCGTCGTCCCCCCGCCCCCCGCCCCCAGCGTGAGACTGTTCTCAGAGGCCCCCGGTCGGAGACTCAGCCAGCTCTCCTTTCTCGGAGGCCTGTGAGCCTAGGAGGGGTACACGTGCACCCTGGTCCCCGAGTGCTTGTCTGGCTCTGCTGGGGAGAGGGTGACAGGAGGGTGGACGGTGGGGGTGTCCCGGTGCGGTGGGGGCGTCCCGGTGCAGTGGGTGCCCGGAAGAGGGGCTCGGGGGTGGGGAGGGGGAGGGCTGGCTGGCAGGAAGGCCGGAAAGGAAAGTGGAGTGGGGGGCCGGGAAGCCCCCGCTGCCCTGTGCCGGAGCGTCACCCGGGCTGTCCCCTGTCACCGCAGGCATCCTGGTTCACGTGGACAACCTGCGCTGGGAGGGCGTCCCCTTCATCCTGATGTCGGGCAAAGCCTTGGACGAGAGAGTGGGCTACGTCCGGGTCTTGTTCAAGAACCGGGCGTTCTGTGCCCAGAGCGAGAAGCAGTGGGTGGGGGACCGGAGCCGGTGCCTGCCCCAGCAGATCGTCTTCTACATCGGCCACGGCGAGCTGGGCAGCCCGGCCGTGCTGGTCAGCCGGACCCTGTTCCGGCCCGCCCTGCCCGCCGGCAGCTGGAAGGAGCTGGAGGCCCGGCCGGAGGTCCGCCTCTTTGGCCGCCCTCTGTCTGATTTCTATGCCTACGGCCCCGTGCGGGAGCAGGACGCCTACTCCACCCTCATATCACACATCTTCCACGGCCGCAAGGACTCCTTCATCACCACGGAGAACCTGCTGGCCTCCTGGGTCTTCTGGACGCCCCTGCTGGAGGGCCTGGCCCGCGAGGCCCCGCGCCTCTACCCGGGGGGAGCGGAGAACGGGCACCTGCTGGACTTCGAGTTCCGCGGCAGCGAGCTGGCCTTCTGCCTGCAGCAGCCCGAGCAGCTGGTGCCGGGGCCGGGCTCCGCGCCGCCGCGGCCCAGTGACTTCCAGGTCCTCCGGGCCACGTACCGAGACAGCCCCCTGGTCGCGGCCTGGCCCGAGGAGCTGATCGCGAAGCTGGCCGACGACATCGAGGCCGCGGCGGCGAAGGCGGTGCAGCGCTTCGGCCAGTTCCACCTGGCGCTCTCCGGCGGCTCCAGCCCCGTCGCCCTGTTCCAGCAGCTGGCCGCCGGGCACTACGGCTTCCCCTGGGCCCACACGCACCTGTGGCTGGTGGACGAGCGCTGCGTCCCGCCCTGGGACCCCGAGTCCAACTTCCAGGGCCTGCAGACACACCTGCTGCGGCACGTCTGGGTGCCCCACTACAACGTCCACCCCATGCCTGTGCACCTGCGCCGGCGGCTGTGCGCCGAGGAGGACCGGGGCGCCCAGGCCTACGCTGAGGAGATCTCGGCCCTGGTCACCAACGGCAGCTTCGACCTGGTGCTGCTGGGCATGGGCACCGACGGGCACACGGCCTCCCTCTTTCCCCAGTCGCCCACCGGCCTGGACGGCGAGCAGCTGGTCGTGCTGACCGAGAGCCCCGTCAAGCCGCACCACCGCATGAGCCTCAGCCTGCCCCTCATCAACCGCGCCAGGAAGGTGGCGGTCCTGGTCATGGGCAAGCTGAAGCGTGACATCACCCTGCTGGTGAGCCGCGTGGGTCACCAGCCCAAGAAGTGGCCCATCTCGGGCATCCTGCCCGATTCCGGCCAGCTGGTGTGGTACATGGACTACGAGGCGTTCCTGGGATGACCGTGCCTTCGCCCTCTGCTCCCTCGCGTGCCGTCTGCCGCCCGCCCTGTCCCCTCCCCTCTGAGTCCTGCCACCTGCCCGCCTGCCCCAGCGCTCTGGAATCCGACGCCTTGGGGTCAGGCCCTGGGGGAGGCCCTGCCCCACCCAGTCCCTCTGATGGCCCCCACCTGGTTGTGGTGGGCAGACGCAGAAAGAAGGAAGCCACGGAGGCCCGAGCGGCGTTTCAGATCCACGGCAGGAGGGAAGCATCCGCCCGACAAGAAGACCTGCAGCAGCCACACCTGAACGTCGCCAGCACAAAGCAGGACGGGGGCGTGGAAGCCCCCGGCCCCAGAAGCAGGTGTGCGGTCGGCCTCAGGGAGCTGTCGGATGGTGGGGGGGCCTGCGGACTGGCCCAGTGGACAGGAGTGGACGGCGGAGAGAAAGGACTGCCGGCCGAGCGGGTGCCGGGCGCCGTCCGGGGCGCTCGGGCTGCTGCGGCCCTTGCTTCCTGTTGCCCCTTCTTCCCCAGCCTCCGACCTTCCGCCTCCTGTCCTGTCCACCGGCTCAGAGTGTCCGGTCCCTTCCTCCTCAGCCCTGACTGCGGGCACCGCCCCCCCCCCATGCCGGCTCTGTGCCTTGGCTGTCCCCCAGACCCTCCGTTCGCAGACAGGTGGAGGACGATGACAATGACACAGCCACCAATACCAGGTTGTGACCACAGTGCCAAAAACCTTGTGACTTGTTGGGAGCCCTTCCTCGGCAGGTGCACTCTCCACGTCAGGGGCGGGGGGGGGGGGGCCTCAGGTGCTCCAGCTGCTCAGGGAGGACCCCGTCCCCGCTGTCCAACACGCGGGGCGCAGGTGCTCAGGCCATTCCAGGGAGCCCTTCTCTAAGAGGGGCCTTTGCGTCTCAGGGGACTTCCTGGCAGGTATGCCCACTCTCTGCCAGTGCCCTCTCTTGTTTACCGGGAGGCCCAGTCCCCTCTTTCTTGGGGGGAGAGATGTGTCGTCGAGCCACAGACCATCCAGACACTGATCTGACCAGACAGGGGCCAGGCCTTTTTGGGGGGCGGCCACGGCGCACGGTAGCGTTGGCTACCGCCCGCCTTTCTCACACTACCTCGAGGTGGCTTCCAGCCTGCCCACTTCCTGCCTGCGGGCCCCTTCTGCCACCTCCCGTGTCACCACGGACACCCTGCTGGGAGACTCAGGGCACACGCCGGCAGCTTCTCCTTGAGAATAGGTTGGGTGCTCTGCCCTTGAGAAGTATGGGCCCGTGTTACCTGTTTTTCTGGGACCCCCAGGGGGTGTCTCTGAAATGCTTTTAAAAAATCAGAAGTGTCTGTTTTTACTTCAGCCTCCAGCAGAGTCATGCCCCCAGAGTCATGGGACCGTGCCCCATCCCCTGCCCACACTGTGTACCAGGCAGAGGTGACACACCTGGGTCAGGCTGAGGGCGCTCTGCCGGGAGGCAGGGCATCACAGAACCTGCGTCCTCACTTTGGACGGGTCAGACCGTCTTCAGGGCTGCGGATGTCCAGGAATCATCGCTCTGGTTTGAGATGGGAGCCTGTGGAAGGGGTGCCTGAACCGGGGCACTCTTTGTTAAAATTCCGCCTCCTCTGGCCTCCAGCAGCCGGGTCCAGACAGGGCATCTCTCTGTATACCAGGAGAGCTGAGCTTGGCGGGACAGAGTCGCAGTACCGCGGTCGGGAAGTCTCCTCCCTTGCTGGAGGTCAGCATCCTAGCTGTTTTGCTCTAGAGATGCTGGTGGACCCAGGTGGTTGCAGTTCAGGTGCTACACGTGGCCACACGGGGGCGCTCGTGCACCATCCCTGCCGACAGGCCAGCGCCATCTGACTTCGGAGGAATTCCCCCTTTGCCCCCGCCCTCCCCCCTCTGTTGTACTTGCATTTTCACAATCTGCCTGCCTGCGCCCTTGGCCCTGAGCACTCACTCCCCCAGCTGTTCTCAGGGAATTTCTTCCTCTGTGGTTGCAACACCAGAGAGAAAGCAGCCTCCACAGGCCCGAGTCTCAGTCCAGGAGAAAGGGTGAGCTGCCACCATTTCTGAATAATCGTGAGTCACTGCAGGCCGGAGCCTGGCACGTCCTGTTCTTAAGAGTCTTGCCCGGCCTCAGAATGCACCCTCTGTCTGTGGAGAGCTTGCATCTGGGGGTAGGGATGGCGCAGAGGTGCCAAAGGGTTCCTTCCCAGCATCCACTGCTGTCTTAAAGTCACGTCTGAAAGGGCCACGAGAAGACATCATCCGCATTCGCTTCCACCCGCTCCCTTCCCCCCGCTTCCCTCCGCCCTGCGCCAGGAAGGAGAGAGTCTCAGAACCCGGCCAGCCCCACCGCGGCTTGCCACACTTTCTGGACCACAGTGCACAGCCAGAAACCCTGGACATCCTGAGTCCCGCAGAGATCTGTTCCAAGCACAAGGGCCGTGACATGGGGTACCCTCTCTTTTCTATTTTTCATTAAAAAAATGCTGCTTGTAATCTGCTAACTCGAGTTGATACTCAGCTTGGAAAGCACGGCCGGAATCCAGCTCTGCCCTGCTCCACAAGCCGAGGACCCGGGCTTGGAGGGGCGGTGGGGGCTCGGGCCTGGCTCCCATAGGGACGCAGCTGAGCACCTTGGGACTGGGACCCAGGTCTGGCAGTCCCACAGCCCCATGCCTGTGGCTCGCCCAGCCCAGTGAGGCCACCCGGGCCCTGAGCTGGTGCTGCTTCAGCCCCGGAGGTGGGGTGCTCAAGCCCCATGGAGAGGGAGGGTGGTGAAGAAGCTCTAATCAGAAGCCCGGGAGTGATTGTGACGTGGGGGTTAAGTACCAGGCTGGACACTGAGCATTCTGTCCAGCGTGGCCTTGCCTGAATCCTTCCAACTACCCTGCCAGGTGGGCGGGAGGGGGAGGCCCTCATGTACTGATGATTTTGAAACCGAAACAAGTCTGAAGACGACAGGCCTGTCTCTCTAAGCCAGGCATGGAAGCCGGGTCTTGAGGATTCCAGACGTGCCCTCCCAGCCGCCCCTCGGTGCCACCTCCTTCCCAGGAGGAGCCCTGGGGTGCTCGCTGCAAATGACCGTGACCCAGAGCCCTGTAGGGGCAAAGGGGCCCCTCCTGTGGGAGGCCTTGTCAAACGGGCATCTCTCGAGCAAGCAGCTTCGCCACGTGTTGTCGGGAAAGAGGCGAGGGACTTTCCAGGCTGCTATGCGCTAGAATCTGATTTCGATCTGGGAACACAGTTCTCTGCTAACCGCAGGCTAACGCAGTCTTGTCTTGTTGATCTTTCCCGCTCCCCGTTCTCCGCAGACAATGCTGTATTCCCATCCCGGTTTAGCAGGGTGATCAGGCTCTCTGCCTGTGGGCGAAGGTTCCCGAAGACCCCTTGGGGGGCTGTCATTCCGGAATGCGCAGGCTGGTCTCCCCGGTCCCTCTGCGAGCTTTGCCTGTCCCCACCGTGCAGCCAGCCCAGGCAGGGAGAGCTGGGGACAGTGTGACAGAAAGGAAGGGAGAAACGGCCATCCTCAAACCTTTCCTACTCTTTAGTTTTCAGAAACAAGTCCCGTCCCCGCCCCCGCCCCAGCAAAACTGCATGGAGCCTCCCACAAGCAGCGTCGGCCTCATCCTCGCACGGCTGCATTTTCATCTTAAGCAGACAGGGCCCTGCAGCCCTTCGTCCCCCAGCAGAGGAGCGGCCTGGCAGCATGTGGGAGAACGAACAGGTCACAGGAAGGGCCAGCGGCCAGGTGGCTGCGGTGTCCAGCCCACAGGATCTGCACCCACCCACCTCACAAAAGACAGGGGCCTTCACAGGGTGGTCCCCTGTCCAACCACTTGCTGCAGTGAAGGATGTGGGCTGTGGTGTACCCCCCCACACACACCCACGCACACACACACACACATGCACACCCTTCCCCCACAGCCGCTCTGCTGGGCACCACCCTCCCTCTGCAGCTCCCCCAGCTCACTTGGGGTGCTTCTGGCTTTTTTCAGGTGACATTTCCATGAGAAAGGGCGCTTCCTCCATCCCCCTGGTTCTGCTTTCAGAAGACCAGGGTGAGGGCAGATACCAGCAGGGCCTCCCCTGGGTCCCAGGGCTGTTGCCGCCCACCTGTGCCTTGTTCCCTGTCAGGAAGGCCAAGTTGGCGCAGTGCTCAGGGGCAGTCACCAGCAAGACACCTGGGTGGGGGGGTGGGGGTGGGTCCTGAAGGCAGGTTGCCAGGGACCCGCCTCAGGTCCCTGCCTTCTCCGTCCCTTGCTGGGAAACTCGGCGCTGGGCTTCGGTCAGGCGGGGAGAGTGGGGCCGGGGAAACTCCCTGTGCGGGGCGGGGGGGGGGTGTGGAGACAGTGGGCCGGAGAACCCCCCTCTGAGAAAATTTTCTCTCTGCCGAGCCAGCAGTGAGCCCGTGCCTTCTTGCAGAGAGAGAGAGAGAGAGAAACTGCCCCTGGTTTTTTATGGAAATACTGGGCACTTACAGATGCCTCACACAATGAGACACATTCAGAGTTTTTAAAACGACTTTTTCTATGTCCAACGTAACATTTATTTTTTAAACAATAAACCTGTTTTGCCAAAGCCCGTGTTTTCCCTCTTTGTCTGGGAGACGGAGGGCGGTGGGCTGCGGGCCTTGGGGCGCTGCTGTGGGCGCTCGGAGGAGGGGGAGGTCGGGGGAGTCCTGGAGCGAGGCCCCCCCCCCCGTCCGGATTCAGGGCAGATCCGGGCTCGGCTGAGCCAAGCGGCCGCACTCCTGGGCCCCCTGGGCCTCCTGGGGGTGGCGGCAGCGGCCGGGGGCAACCCCTCTCACAGGTGCTCCCCGTCTTCCTGGCAGTCCATGGGGTGGGGAAGGGCAGCACCCGAGGGCGTGCGCTGCGGCATCTCGAAGCAGCAGGACCAGGTGCTGCGGCGGGTCCCGTCACGTGCTCTGCCTGTGTCTGGCTCCTGGGATGGCGGGGTGGTGAGGCAGCCGAGTGAGGCGGCAGGACCTCGGGGTGCAAGCGTCAGAGCAGCGCCAGGAGGGGCCTGCGGAGCCCTCTCCCTGCCCCCTCCCTCGCCGCCCGCCTCCCGTCCCCCAGTTCTCAGCTGTGAACAGATTTTCTCAGTCTTTGTCAAGTGCAGCTTCAAGGCGAGTACCCAGCTCCCCTTTCTAATCAGATTCCTGCCCCCAAAGCCCTTCCTTCTGGGAACAGGGAGAGGGCCCGTCTCTGAACCAATCTCTGGGGGGGGTAGGGGGTGCTTGTCCATCCCTGGGGTGTCGAGACAACCCAGAGGGTCCCTCCCAAAAGGACAGGATGCTGCCCCAGGCCCACAGGGCGCCGCCTCGCAAGCTGACGGGCATCAGAGCTCTGAACAGCTAGCTCAGTGCCCACCGGCCCTCAGAAGCTGGGGCGTTCTCGTTCGTAGAAATGACAGTGTTGGCCGTTGTCACTTCGTGTCCCGGAGACGGGAACATCCACCCAAAAGTTTTCCTAATCATCACATCATCCCAGAAGCCCAGGTCTGGCCGGCCGTCTGCTCCGACACCCACCGGGCCTTGAGAGCGAGGTCAGAAAGGCACGGGAGGGGAGGTGCCTGCGCAGGTGGCCGTGCGCTCAGAAATCCACACGGACCGAGTGCTTTCCTTGGCTTCCCCGCAGCCAGCCGCTGCGGCCACTCCCAGCGCCTCCCGCACTCCCGGCCACCCCAGCCTCTGCGCTCTTAGCCACGGTGCGATTCCCTGCAAATAGCACCACCGAACGTGCTGCCCCGGAGGGTCTCCACGGGAAGTGCAGTATGAGGACCAGGGACGATGGAGGTCGCAGTCGCCCGGGTCTTGTTTGGAGAGACATTCCAGGCCGGTTGGACCGCCAGCAAGGCGGTGGGGAGCCGTGCAGGCGCTGTGCGGCGGTCACCGAGGTGTGACCTCCAGTGACCCAGGGCAGCAGGGGGCCGAGGTCTGGCTGCAGCCTCCCCTCTGAGGCCAAGTCTGCCGCTGTCCCACCACGGCCCTCCGCCCCCCACCCTGGGCGGCCCCTCGGTGGAGAGTGTCCTGAGGAGGAGTGCTCTGGCATCTCCCAGACAGGCCCCGCGTTTCCTGGAAGAGAAGGGGCTCCTCTCGTTGTCTCCTCCCATCCCTCCCCACGGCACACCCCAGGACTCACCCCGTGGCTCCCTTCCGGGGTGTCCCCAGCTAAGTGCAGCGGCTCTGTGGGCCTCCTCCCAGGGCCGGGTCTCTCCGGCGCCTTGCCCTGGAGAACGGTGTTTGGGGAGCGTGAGGGGGTGCAGCGCCCCACGACAGGAGGGGACCCAGGGTGTGTCCCCCAGCTGTCCCCAACGTCTAGAGCGGCTGAGCATCAGCGTCTCTGCCTAGGACCGGAACCCAACACCCGCTTGCTCGCTGCCCAGGAGGCAACCGAACACACCTGTGCCCAGGTGTGCCTGTGCACCAGGCCCTGCGGCACCTCCTCCGTCTGTCGGTCCGTCCGCCTCCACGCTGCCTCACCCGTGTCCAAGCCTGGAGGGGGAGGAGGCCACCCCAGGCTCCGACCCCCGGGGCCCAGCGCGTGCCTGGCGGGTGTGGGGCCTGTGGCGCTGGCCCTCCCGGCACCCCACTGCTCCCTCTCGGGGTACTGTTCGCGCCCCTCTCCGGGAGGAGGGCAGATGCCCTCCGGCCCCCCTCCCTGGCCACCGGGAGGTCCAGGGAGAGAGGGGGGCGCAGCAGGGCGTCTTCTGTTTGCCCGTCCTCCATCTCCTTGCTCCCCGCCGCTCCGTCCTGCTCCCCGCATCTGGGCTGCATCCCCAGCTCCCTTGGCCCCCGGCTCCTGTCGGATCCCTCAGTGGGACCGCAGTGAGGTGGGAGGGGCGATTCATCACTGCACCTGGGAAGGGTCGCCTGCACTGGCCTGGTCCCGAAGGAAGTTTGTGCAGCCCAGCCTCCCTGTGTGTCTCTGCCCCCCGGGGCTCCGGTTCTGTTCCCTTCCCCCGGTTCTCCCGCCGGCTCTGCTCCAGCTCTGCCCACACTGCCCGCCCCTCCGCACTCCCAGGGGGGCCCCTGCCGGGAGCGGTTTCCTTTCTGCCCCGAGGCCTGTCCGAACAGCCAGCAGTAGCCTGTCCACTCGGCCCCCCAGCGGGATGTCAGGAGCAAGGACTCGGGGTCCCCGCTCTCTTGGCCTTTGCAGGACAGCATGTCGTGAGGCTAAGAGCTGGGCTGCGGATTCAAATCCCAGCCGTGTGGGTTGGCTGCGGGGTGGCGGGCCCAACTTGACCGCTGAACTTTGTTACCGGGTCATGAACCCTGCTGTCTGGGAGGGGACTCAGAGTGGCCCTCGCTGTGGCACCCTCGGCGGGAGACACGGGCCACTGCAAAAGCAGGGACGTGGGGGGACACCCACCAGGTCTGTTTGTCTCCCAGTTGCATGTCTCTCATGACCCGGGGGCTCTGACTTATGCAAGGGTGACAGGCGCTCGGCCCCGCACCCAGGAAATGGGAGTCTGGCAAGGGCACTGAGCACCTGGCAAGGTGGGCTCCCGGGTGCCCGACGCGGGTGGGGACAGCGGGGCTCCGGGCAAAGCTGGCTGGGGTCTGCAGACTATGTGTTCAGTAACTGCTGCCAATTGACTTCACACCACCCCACAGGATTTATTGAGCACCTACTATGTGCCAGGCACTGTGCTTGGTTTGGGGATAAACAGGGCCCAGGCCAGAGGGGCTCCCTGCCCGGGGCCGCCAGTCTGGTGGGGAAAGAGACAAGCACCCAGGCGATCGCAGGCTGCCTGGGAGCTGTGGGGGCACCCGGTGGGGCACCAGGTGGGGCACCTGCCCACCCTGGGGGGCGTCACAGACGCTTCTCCGTGAAGGGCGCTCCAGCTGGGAGCCGCTGACAGGAAGCACGGGTGCAGGACACAAGCCGTCCCCAGCCAGTCTCTGGGGCCTCCGCTCCCCCACCAGCAGCTGGAGCCACATGGGATGCAACCCCCAAGGCGCCCCCAGGCCCAGGGGGACCTGCTGCTACCTAGTGACCTGGAAGCCCTTTGGAGGCCCCGGCCTTCTCCCAGTGCCCTCTGGGCCGTCAGGGTGGCGGCCGTACAGGCAGTTCACCCAGGAAGCTGTCCATCCAGCACCCTAGCGGGTGGGGGCCCCCTCCCCTGCACCTGCTTTGCCATGGGCCCCGGCCTCAGCCCATGTGCACACCCCACCTCCACCAGCCGCACCCAGAGCCCCGAGTCCCTGGGGGACGCAGAGCTTCTTTCTGGGCCTTTGCTGCCACGCCCGTGTCCTTCCCAGCTGCCCGGGGAGACAAGGTGACCCCACACAGGCTAGCGGCAGGGTGGCCTGGGGCGCCTCCCCGCCACGGGCCCTGCTGGGCACGGAGAAACACAGGTTGACAGATGGTGCGCTGGCTTTAAGCATCTGCTACCATGGCTCCGAGATGCAGCTTCCGGACGGGGCTCAGCCCCCTCCCGCTGAGTGCCAGCCGCCTGGGTGGTCCGGGACCAGGGTAGAATCAGAGGCCAGAGGGAGCCCGGGTTCAAATTGCCACCAATTTCCTGCAAGTTCCTCCCGGAGCTCCGGGCAAACCCACTGGTTGGACGGGGAGAGACACACAGACCCCTCACTTAAAACCAGATGTCGGCGTCGGTCCCAAGCCGGCCCGGGGGCAACCGCCGCCCGCCACATGGCAGACACAGACCCTGTGCAGAGGAAGCCGCTTCTTAGCTGGCACCTAAAAATATTGACTTGTTTGTTTTCTTTAAATAGAAAGGACATTCGACTCACTCCACCCCAGACCTCCTCCTTCTGGGTTCACGGCGGGCACTGTGGGGGCCTCACCCAGACCCAGCTTCCCCGGCACCGAGCGGCTGAGGGTCCGGGGGGCTTGGAGCAAGCACGGCGTGGAGGACAAGGAGGGAGGGGGCCAGGCCGCCCCGGAGGGGCATTCCCAGGGGAGGCTGGGAGGGACTGACTGGCACTGGGCGGGCCCAGTATCCCCGAGCACCATTCATCCAGAGAAGCACTGGGCATCTCTGGGGCACTTAGGAATCAGAGGAAAAGGGCGACCCAATGACCCATAACCTGAGAAAGGGCCTGGGAGGCTCTGATACCCAGAGCCACCTGGCTTATGACTTCACCTTCCCTGAGATCCTCCATGGGCCTGTGCCAACAGTGGGCAGTGGCCGGGGCGGGACCTGTCCCTCTGCGTCAGGTGCTGGAGCTCTGAGCTCTGCCTGGGACGAGAGGCCACTGGGCCTGATGGCTCTGCTCCCACGTGTTGGTGGCCGGCTCCACGGGGTCCTCAGACGCAGAGGGAAGAGCTCACCTAGAGCCCCGCAGCCGGGAGGCCTGAGTTGGCCTGAGCCACAGCCGTGCGTGGAACACCAGCGAGAGACCGACCGCTGTGCCCTGGCGGGAGCCGTCCCCAAGACAGACTGTTAAGTGGAGGGAAGCAGAGGGAGACCGTGTGTGGTGTGCAGCCCCGTGCTAGCGAGCACCCACGGGTGTGGACCGCACACCGGGAGCTGGCCAGAGGCTTGCCTCGGGGAGGAAGGATGTCTTCTGAAGTTCTTTTCTTTCCTTTCTTTTTGTCCTCACCTGAGGACAT